TATTAGTAGTGCTTTTTAATGTGGAGACCCAGCTGGCAGTGAGCTTCTGTGCCACAGGCCGCCTGGCATCCTTGATGACTCACTGTCCCCATGACCGGGAGGCTGAGAGAAGCAGCTTTGAGAAATGAGCAAGAACCTGGGCTGTGGAGTCAGATTTAGATGGTTCAAATCCGTACCCTGCCACTCTGCTATTTTTTGACCTTTTGTCAGCGAATGACTAAATCACATCGAGCCTCTGTTTTCTGATCTATGTGCTGAAAATAAAGGCGCTCAGGCAGGCTTCTCCAGGAAGCAGATCCAGAGGCAGGGTTGAGTATGCAAGATAGGATTTAGGGCTCAGTGTTCATGGAAGGGAGGAGGAGGCAGCAGTGGGCAGAGGGAAATGTCAAGTTGTGATACTGGCTCACTGAAGCTTTGGACCTTTGATACGGGGGTCTGGTGGCTCCCCTGGAAAAGGTGTCCCTAGGCGAAGGAACTTCACTTTAGCTAAGGTGGTTCCTGGAGAGGCTGACAGCCCGCCCAGCAGTGGGGAGCCCAAGCCCTTCACCGTAGGGGGCTCTAGATCGCTGTGTGTCCATCGCACAGAGTAGTTACCTTGGGGGGTGGGCGGAGGGGACTGTGACATGGAGTCATGCATGAAGGGGTGTATACAGTGCATGGCTCACAGAGGCAGGCAGTAAATGGCGGCGGCTGCTATCCTGTGGGCCCTGAGGTTCACCTACACCTGCTGGCTGACCTTGTACCCATCAGTCCCTTCTCTGGTTTTAGTTTTTCTGTCCAGGAAAGCAAGGGGACTGCATACTGCAAGCTGCCTAGCCAAGCCACCTGTTCTAAGTTTCTGTAGTTAAAACTGCTGAGAAAAATACAGTAACATTGTTTAGATGCACAAATCAGAAATGAGTAAGGCCAGTCTTGTTCTACAGTTTCTGGCTATGTGGTGATGTGCCTGCTCACTTTTTATCTTTTCCTTTTGTTTAACAGCTGTTAAGCTCACTGTTGCAACTCACTGTTCAGAAGTACTTGCAGTAGTTGGTAAATCACAAAAGGATGGGGTTTCCCTTCTTTTGTTGAAGTCATTCTTTTTGCCATACTAGTGCTGGGTAGACCAGAGAACAGGGACCGTCGAAGGCTGCAGCCTTACTGGGTGTCAGCAGCTCTGAACACAGACTCTGGAGAATTTCAGAAATTCTGGGATTTTTGAGAACCGAAATTCATTAGCTTTGTTGTAAGCGTCTATAAATACAGCAAAAGGCATTTACAAATAGACATTGTAAAATGCTTCTACACCCACAGTCTGAACACTGTCAAAACACCAGCTGCAGCTTCCCCACTCGGAAGGATCAGGATCTTTTTTAAGCTACACCTACTGTGTTTTCAAAACCGGGTTGCTGCTGGCCCTGCACAGAAGATAATTTCAGCTGAAAGCTTGTGTCTGGTTCTTGGCACGAGGGACCAGGGCATGAGGGCTCAACTGGCTAGGTGGGGGATCCCACTCTCCTTTCTGTTGGAAAAGAGGCTGCTGCTTTAGAATTTGGGAGGGTCATCTGGGGCTGCTGGTTACTTCCTATCTATGCTTCCAAGTGCTCCCTGGAGACCTGTCCAGGACTCCTAACTCCACACGCCCCGACACGTCCCCAGGTGAGGGCCCTGTGGTCACCTGCAGTTGGGGAGGTTCCTGATGCAGAGGTGCAGTCTCACTTTCCACCTTGATGATGCTGTCGGTGAGAAAGGGGGGTGAGCATGAGCTGCCCGCGTAGGGCGAGTCCCTGCAACTGAACGCGAAACTTAAATGAAAGAGAGAGGCAATCTTTAAAAAGAAGGGAAATTCGCCTACAGTTTGATCAGAGACAACTGCTATGACCTGCGCTTTTGTGCTTTCTTCCCTCTTCCTCCTACCTATGGTTTGGTTCTCTTTTCATCACTTTTACCTAGGTGATCTTGCTGAGTGTTATATAAGTTTATGTCTTTGAGGGAAAGTTGGATTTATGTACAAATGTATTGACCTTTCAGGGGAAAAAAATAAGCAAAGGTTCATTCATTCCACAGGTGGTTTTTGAGCCCTGCCATATTGCAGGTGCCGAACGGGGTGCCAGGACACCCGTCGGATTCCCCAGGAATAAGCACCGTAAATATTGTTCTAGACTTCAAAAACAATCTCTCCTTTCCAAGTGTATGACGGGGCGTGCATGCGCAGTGTGGTCGAGGCAGTCCCTGACCCACCTTTGTCCCCTAACATTGGCCCACAAGGACTCGCCTGTGTTGTGGTAAAGGGTAATAGTTACAAATATCCCTTGAATTGCTATATAAAAGCCTATCAAAAGCTCTTCTTCTTTGAAAAAGTCCACTTCTTTTCAGCTTCTTTATTAGACGTAATACTGTGGTAAACAATATTGTCATATACCCACTTTATTTTTAAGATTTATTTATTTGTGCACACAGAACTGGGGTACAGGCCAGAGATGTGGAGGGTGAGAGGCTTCACCAGAGACAGAGCGGGGAGCAGAACAGGCAGATCGACGAAGTCCACTGCTGAGGGGAGCAGCGGGCGGGTCAGGAGAGGTCTGCCGCGCCATGTGGTCACTCCAGGCAGGGATCGAACTCATGCGGAAGTGGTTTACGCTTCTTAGTGCTGTGCTTTAGCCCACTGAGCCACCAGGAAGGGCCCCTATATACCCACTTTTTAAAAATTACTCCCTTTTACCCTGTATCACTCCACAAAAGAAGAGGGTAACTTTCAAAAAGGAATGCAAAGAACAGAGTACTCGAGAGTGGCAGTAAGGGGGAAACGTGCAGAGAGACACTGTAGCGCAGAGGAGAGTCACTCTGTAGTGTGCAGCAGGGCTCACGGCAGACTCTTATTTGACTGGAAGCTTCCAGCTCTCAAATCAGAGGGGAAACGGCAGCTCCAAGGCTGTTACCGAAATGCACAAGTGAACCGCGGGGGGGTTAACTGGTACGCAGCGCCCCTGCTCCCTGTAACACCCCTGCTTTCTCCTGCTGCCCACTGAGGTGCCACTCAAACTGTCCTCCCCCTTGGCAAAAAATAAAAAAGGCCTAGAGGAATTAACTGGGCTTGCGTTGCCTGCATGGCCACTGGCCCCGGGCAGAACATGTGTTCTCATAAGTTTTGGTTCTTGGTGTTTTCCCAAGAGGACGGCGGTGTCTGGCTGCGCCAGAACTTGAGTTCTGTCTGCTCGTTGGGAAGGTGACAGCAGCGAGGAGGAGGAGCCTGACTGCAGGCTCCATGAATGCAAGTAACAACAGCCAGGGGCCCCAGGAAGCTTCAAAACTGAACATTCTTTCCTACTAATAATACTCCACTTCCACATTTCCAGAACGTTTTATTCCGATGGTTAACATTCAAATTTCGGGCTGCTGGGGCCTGCCAACAAAGTGTTCTCAAATACATTTCCTCAACCTCCTGGCGCCTGTTGGCTGGGTCTTGCCAGGTGGGACCTAAGCTTTGGAAATGGGGAGATAGGGAATCTTTGGAAGCCTGGCCTGAGGGGTCCCCACAGCCTCAGAAGGTTGTGGTGAGTTAGGAAATGAGGCCGCGCTATGAAGCTCAAGCTGCTTTCCCCTTCCCACGTATAGAAGTTCATGTTCTCCTGGAACCTTCATTTCAACCAAGCTCTTAAAGAGACCCAAAGTGTGGTGCTGAATGCTGCTACCCCTCCCTTGCTGGGGGAGACCCTCAGGAGTCTGCGCCATCAACTGCCTCCCCACGCCCATGCTTCTAGGTCTTCTGGCTCTCCTGCGCCAGCTGTCCCTCTGTCCCCGTCACTACCAGGACAAACCGAGCCTGCAGTGCTTAACCCGACACAGTCTGACCTTCACCCCTCTTCCTCTGTTGCAACTCTGGGGACGGCAGGCTTTCGCCCTGGCCACGCTGGGCTCTGTCGCCTGCCCTTGAGTCCTTCCTCAGATGCGTCTCTTGCTGCAGTGCCCCTGCTCCCAGCACCAGCTGGCCTGCACCGGTGCCTTCTTCCCACGGGGCTTGGGCAAGTCTGTATCTTACTCAGGCGACCCTAGGTGGGCCTGTGGTGTCTCTATGTCTTCCTCCTGTTTAGACCACAAGCCCCCGGGGGGGGGGGTACAGCTTTGGCATGCTCGGTACCCCCAGCATAGTCACTGTTGGACAAGTGCTCCTGGAGTGCCAGGCTGTGGCCATGAGAGCCACGAGGCGGACTGTCTCTGGTACTTTCCTAGAAGCAACCACTCGGCTTTCCCCTCTTGTTTTATGGGCAGCGTTCTTTTCCTATTTCACTACCATCAAGCCCGTAGGTCCCCCCAAACAGGCCCACAGAGCTGACTTTTTGGAAGAACCTACTTCTCATGCATGAGTGGCCTGTTTTGCTCATCCTCTGGGAGGCCTGTCCCATCCCAAAGCACTGCCCCAGGCCCAGATACAGAGAGAAGTCACTCATGTCCTGATGGGCTCGGGGGCACCCACCCAGGAGCCATCTCACTTTACTGGCCTGTACCCTAGTGCCAACTTCGGGGCTGCCAGATCTCAACTCGACACCTTGTGCCTGTCAACAGCTTGGCTGGAGCCTCAGCCCCACGCCAGAAAACCTTTTTTTCAAGGTTAAAAGTAGCCGACCTTTGACAAGCAGCATTGGCTAAATCCCTTGTTCCTTAAAAGGGAAGCGCCCAGTTATCATTTGCTGGCGCTTCCTTGGCCACGGGGCGGGAGCAGGCTCTGCACTGTACCCTGTGTACCAGCAGGAGGTTGTGGCTAAAGGGGCATTGCTGAACGATCGTTATTAAAATAGCCTCCTTTGAAAATGTGTGCGGAGAGGGGGCCATCCGGCCCGCTGACCAGTTTTCGCCGAGGCCCATGTGGTCGGACTGCTCGTTGGCTCACTCGCAGGCAGCAGTGTCACCTGCCCCCCCCCCATGCCCAGCACACTCCTTAACACGTGTGGAGCAAGAAAGCTGACGAAATCGCAAGGACACATACCAATTATTAAATGCCTGGACTTGTGTTTTTAACATAGGGGTGACAGTCCCAAGATTGACCTGGCGGGCAGTTCCATACCTGGCATCCTGGACAAGGATCTCTCCGACCGCAACAATGACATCGGTGAGTAAGGACATTTTTGCTTCTCTTGCAACATTTTTAAAGAACTGCAGAGCTGGGCTTGCCCCTTTGGGCTGCCTCATGAAAACTCGCACAGCCAGTCAAGTTCAGTAGCCCTCCATGGGTTTTATGTGTTGTGGTTTTGTTTAAAAAAAAAAAAAAAAAGGTGATGGTGGTCTCCACAAAAAAGTAGATTTCACTCTCCCTGGCCTTAGGAGAAATTCCTTGCAAGGTCTCGTGCAAAGAAATGATGAGTAAACCTTTTCGTAATTGAGGGCGTTAACACTTAGGTTCATATTTTCAGTGATTTATGTATTTAGTGGAAAAGGGGAAAATGCAGAATGGCAGTGTCCAGTAGACACAGCACTCAGTCTTTTGACTGTGATTTAACAGGAGCTTTGGGGTGGTGATTGCCACTTAGCTCGGAACATGAGTGAGTTTTCCCAAGGTTAAGATGCCATGCAGTGATCAGAGTGCAGGTCTCCGCATAAACAAGCCAGAGGGTCATTTCAAGAATGGGGGCGGGCAGGTGGGTGTGAGGTCACATGTGTGTTGGTGGAGGCCACTGGTCATCGGACTTGGGTGACAACCCTTTCACGAAGTCCACGTTCTGGGGCTGCATTTTTTTAGCTTTACATCTTGTACTTGTACCTGTCTCAGCCCCATGTTAACAGTCTCTCACCGTCTACAGAGTAGAGGCAGCCCCACTCTGGATATGACCTTTTTTATTCTGAAATGATGGCAAATTCATATGCAGCTATGAGGAACAGTGCAGAGCGATCTGGGCCACCTTTACCCAGTTTATGCCATCTCAGGAAACTGAAGTGCAAGGTCACACCCAGGATGTTGCTATTGATGTAGTCTACCAGATTCGCCAGTTTTACTAGTACTGCCACTACAGTCAAGGTACAGAACATTCCATCATCACTAGGATCCCTCCCACTGCTCTTGTGTAACCATGCCCACCTCCTCCCGTCCTCCCCTTCCCTGGTCTCTGGGCCCCTCTGTCAGGGATGGATTTGACTTGGCCGATTTCCAGCATTGTTTGCTTTGACCCACTTAACTTAGAAGCACATGCCTGGCAGTTGGCAGGCTTCACAGGTGACACCAGAGCTCCTGACATGATGTTCTTGTCACCTGGGTTACTACTCTCCTTGGGTGCTGTTTTCTTCAGAACCTGCTAATAGAGTTGCATTTTAGCAATTACTGACCTGCAGTCACTGGTCTGAACTTGCAAAGGCCTAGAGGCAAGCTCTGTTGTGATCATAAACACCGAAAGTGCTTGTCCTGTTTCCAGTAACTGTTTTACCATCCTCAGTCAGCCTTTGAGAAGCTCAGTGAGGAAATGTGGCCAAGAATTCCATCAGCATGGACCGATGCAGGAATAATGAAATGCTGGTCTCCTGTGGCTTGTGACCTGGTGGAAGGACAGGGAAGAGCAGAGCAGTGTGGCCATGATGAGAACCTAATTGATTTCTGGGTCTACCCCCGTTCTGCCCCAGCATTGGGCTCTGCTGTAAGGCAGGTGGCCAGATGGAAAATGCCAGTGAAGGAAGGGGTCTCCCCTGCGGAAGGGAGGTGTTCTCCCACCTCCAGTGCATGTTGAAGTGCGTTGGCCTCTGCCCTTGTTTGCTTGGGGTCTGGAGAGAACTACAGTAGCCATCACCCATGCTGTTCAATCTCATAAGCTCGGCCGGAAATGTTAGGGGCATTATGCAGGGGGCTGGTGTATGGAAGCTTCTCATGCTGTGGAAAGTAAGCACTGGTTCAGGACTCCAGAAGGATTTGCCAAGGGGACATTCATCGCAGAAGATGATAATTGCTCATACTAAAAATTCAATGCGTCACTTGCAATGCGAGAAATGCTGGCTACCACTAAGTGCTTAATACTGCTGGAGCACAAGGCTGAATGGACAGCAAGAGCCTTGTGCTCGTGCCCTGCCTTCTAGGGGCTTCAGGTCTCTAATGTAGCAAACGAAAAGTGAGGCAACCCTGATAATCTGAATGGTGACTGAGTGGTAAAAAGAAATGCCGGTCAGAGTTGGGGGTGCTCCTTGGCACCTAGGGTGTTAGGGCAGGCTCCAGGAAGGGGGACAGACTTAATCTGCATCTTGATGTTGGGTAAACGTAGGTCAAGTTGAAGGTAGATAGGGAAATCACATGGGGAGTGCTCTGAACTGCGCCTAGATCAGCAGCTGAGGGTTTGTGCAGTCGTGGGGGCGCTGACCTGGACTTGGCCCACTTTGAGAGGCATTGGATGCATAGTCTATGTGTTAGGCCTTGCAAGCCTGATAGTTGACACTGAAACTTCAGATAATAACTGAGGAGCTTTGTGGGAACAATCAAATGAATGCAGGTAGATGTCTAAGAGTCAGGTTATTTGACAGTTCAGGTGAGCGGGAGCCAGAATTAAGATGCTCACCCGAGATGCCAGAGCAGCGAGCCAAGAGGATATTGCTGGACCTCAGTAACAGATTGATTTGGGAATAGGGAGGAGGAGAGTTGATGTTAGCTGTGAGGTTTAGAGGTGGGTGACTGGGGAGGAAATGGCTTGAATAGAAACAAACATGTCTGGGGAAGGAGCTGGCGGGGGTCTGGGTGGGGAACGTGTGCCCTGATATTTGGTGGCCATTCCTGTGTGATTGCCAGTGCCGAATGAAGGCTGAAGGTTGCATGGAAGCTGGAGAGGCAAGCAGGGACTGAAGGTAGATTAGGACCTTCCCTGGTGCCGGGGAGGAGGACAGTGGTTGGCAGCAGGACTGAATTCTGCAGGCCTAAATTTGAGCGCCAATTTTGCCGTTTCCTGCTGGGTGACGTGCATAATTTACCCAGACTTTCTGAGCATCAGTTTCTTTATCCTTAACAACATGAACCTCTCTATCAGCCAGGTCACCTTGTCTCCCAGAATTGTATAAAACCCGTTTGGTAGGCTGCAGGAAGACAGAGATACTGCTGATAAATGGGTTTGCTTAGAAGTGCTCATTAAGTCAGGAAGATCAAGTCCTTACCATAAGAAAAGAGAAAGAAGAAAGCCAAAGCCCAAATCCTGCTCAAAGGCCACCTGTCGTGTGGGAGAGTGGAACCCTTTAGCATGGGGGCCCACAGGGGGATTTCAGCAAAGTCTTCAGACCCAAATGCAGAAATGGTGTTTCAAGAAGGAAGTTGCAAAGTAATTGCTTTCTTCAGGTGTCTCTGCTTTTGTAGTATTTGCTCATGGCTTTGAGTAAAAAAGGAAATCATTTGTCCTCGCATGTTTTGTCAGTGATTCAGACAATTGTAGCTGTCCAGATGTAGGCTGCAATGAAGAGCAGATTACAGCCCTGAAAGCTGTTAGAATCCATCCGTGTGAGCTATAAATAAATCTGTGCTTCCTCTTAATAATGCTGGAATTTTTAATTATTATAATATTAAATTATAAAACATGGCTTTTTGAGGTCTCGTGTGGGTAGCTCCCAGCATCTGCTAGCCCGCAATAATTTAGAATGAAATCAGTTGGTCTAATACGAAGTTGTTGATGGCAGTTTGAGATACTGTTTGTATCATACTACGTAGCCATATTTCAAGTAGCGTAATGCCCAGTGCAGGCCTGCGCAGGAATAGTAAGTGAAAATGAAATTGCCCGGTTCCCTCTTACTGACGGAAGAATCTCTCTTCTGACTGAATGGGAGCTTATAGGCCGCAAAGTCAAGTGCCATCGCGTTCGCTTTCGTGATGCCATGTGTCATAGCTCCCTCCGTGTGGCGGAGGGCCGGACTCACTGTCACGGTTCGGTATGATGCCGATTTCCCATTTGTTTCCCCCTAAAGCACAGAGCAGCAGGTCTCCGGGCAGGAGGCAGCCTGGGAACTAAGCCATCCAGCGTCAACTAAGTGACTTCTGCCTGTTCGTCCTCTATTATCTGAATTTCCTTACATGTTTCCCACTTCTACCACTTTATGGGGACACCCCTGGGGGCTCTTTACTTGAAGCTGAGGACTTCTGCTCACCCTGCCACCTGGCCCACATAGCCACACTTAACCTGGGAGTCAGCTTGGGGCCAAAGCTTCCCGCTTTAAATGCCTGCAGGCCCGTGCTGCATTTGGGCCAGGAAATGTAAAAGTGTTTCCCTGTGCCCCACAAGTAGTAACTTTGGGGAGCTGAAAAGTTTCTAAAACTGGATTGCAATGGTGGTTGTGAACTCTATGAATGTACTGAAAATGATTGAATTGCACTCTCAAGATGGGTGACTTTATGACCTATAAATTATACTTCGGTATTGCCGTCTTAAAAAAAAAAACCAGCTAATATAAGTTTTCCTCACTTTCACTTTGAGGCTTCCAGGTCAAAAAAGATAATACACATCATTCGTTTACAATTTTGGGGTAAAAGAGCACTATCTTGGTGTTTCTGCCTTGTCTCTGAGCCAGTCTGTATTAAATATATTGAGAAACTTCCCTTCAAGCTTGTAGAGGGATCATTTTGTAGTACCAATAAGTTCCTGAAAGGTGTTTTTAAAAGTATATCATTTTAGGGGCCCTCCCTGGTGGCTCAGCGGGTTAAAGCACAGCACTAATAAGCTAAAGCCACTTCCGCATGAGTTCGATCCCCGCCTGCCCCGGAGGAGATCCACATGGCGCGGCAGACCTCTCCTGACCCGCCCGCTGCTCCCCTCAGCAGTGTACTTCGTCAATCTGCCTGTTCTGCTCCCCGCTCTGTCTCTGATGGATCCTCTCACCCTCTGCATCTCTGGACTGTACCCCAGTTCTGTATGAATAAATAAATAAATCTTAAAAAAAATTATATCATTTTAGACAGTCCTCTTAGACCGAGGCCCACCATGACAGTGCTACATATGGCTACATGTAGCTGCAGTGATGGAGTGACCACCAGAGTGTGGAAGTGTTTGGAAGACCTAGGAGTGTCTTCCAAGAGGATCTGAGGGTGAAAATACCTTTTCCATTGTTGATTTCTCCTTGAGGTGCAGTTGCCACGGTGGCTGCCGCGTGTGTGGCGTTGGGTGTTGC